GGTTTCCTCGACATTTTGCCGCAACGTTTCAAAGAGCTGGAAAGTAAATGAACGGCAGACAGAAATGAGGCAGGTTGAATCGTCTTGCTTTTCATGCATGTGCAGTACTGGAACATAAGCGTTTGCGGCTTTTTCAATGTGGATGAACAACAATGTGAAAACGATAGTGTGGACGCAGAGTGTTTTCAGACATATACACCTATTTCAAATTTATCGGGGCTGGTGTAGACGTAGCCTCAGTGACTTTCTAGATCACCATGAAACGCACCAGGGCAGAGTCAGAAACCTCCTAAAATGGGGATGATGGATTTAAATCTTCGTCTGTTTTTTTCATATAGTTTCATAGAATTTATCTTTTTTTTTCTCTTGAAGCTTTGAGGAGCCACAACTCAGGAGCTCGTGAGCAGCATGCCAAGGGTTGCTGTCCTCTGTGCTAGGCGTTAAATACCTGAGACAGTTTTCCTTTCAGAAAATTAAGCACGACTGTTTTAAGTTGGGGTGCTGTGCAGTTGATGGAATAAGTGTGAGTTGGTGGTAGCATCGTTAAAATCTTAACTTAAACATGCTAAGATTGTTTAGGTCTTAGAACTGAAAATATTATTTGAGTGTGAAAGATTTTGGACGAGGTTAAATTACACTTCGTCCCTCTCGTGTGTGTGTGGTATGTGTGGAATGAAGTTCGGGTCTTTTCCCAGAGGTCTGAGAGTTTGAGGGTTCAGGTATCTTGGCTTTTCCTGGGACTGCGCTCTTCATGGAAAGAGACCTCTGATGCTGGGCTGGAGTCACTCTTCCATTTTGGGGATTACAGCCCCCAAAATGGGGCTCCTTCCCTTAAGCTCATTAACCATCACTATGTCTGGTCAGCTGCTTGTCTGCCTGGAACTTGAATTCCTACAGGACCTTATCCCTGTTATTGTCAACCATATTTAGTGGTGGTGCGGAAGTTGAGGACTTGTGTGGTACAGATGTTTCTGTACACTCTACCAGCCAAATCATTGTGCCTGTCAGTGTACATGGACTCAGTGCTTGACTGTCTCCAGGACACCTTTGCATAACTTGCAACATGAGTTCTACTGGCTGTCGCCCAGTTTAGTTCTTGTGTAATTTTGCATATCTCAGACTTTCTTCCCTGTTTCTTCTTGCCACTGAAACCATTTCTGATGACGCTTCACCGAACAGTAATGGGTCAAATGAAGGGGCAGATGCATCTCTCAGATCCTGTGTCACGTCTGAATGTTTTTTAAGGGCATGACTTTCAGATACACAGAGACTGTTACCAGTAGTGCACACCAGTGCACACCGCTGAGATAAGTTTTCACTTTTGAGCTCTTTGGGAATCACCTTGTTGATGCAAAAAAATCTCATTTTCATCAAACTGTTTTATTGTTGCCTTT